TCTCCCCACTACAATCAATCCTTCACACAACTGCCAAAGTGATCTTCCTAAAGCACAGATCTGATGTGTCACCTCTTTCTCCACACCCCCAATGAATAAACTCCAGTGGCTCCCTGTTACTTCCAGGGTCAAATATAAAGTCCTCTGGCATCTAGAGCTCTTGCCAACCTGACCTCTTCTCATCTTTTCAGTCTTCTTATGCTCTGCTCCCTTTTCTGTACTCTAAAATCAAGTCATCCTGCCCTATTTGCTTTTCCTTGAACAGGACACTCCTTCTATATCCATTACCTTTTCACTGACTAGCTCTCATACCTGGAGTACCCTTTCTCTCTCTCTCTCTCTCTCTCTCTTCCTTTCTCTCCCTCTCTATCCTGTCTCCTGGCTTCCCTGGCTTCCTTCATATCTCAGCTCAAGTTTTACCTTCTGTACCACGCTTTTCTCATTCCCTCCCCTCCCTCCAGCCTCCCCAGCTATTAAGGTTTTGCTATCTAAGGTAACATTCAAGCCTTCCATCTGTCTATTTATTTGTTATCTTCCCCATGAGAAGGTAAGGCTCTTGTGGTTGGGGAATATTTTGCCTTACTTTGATTCCCTAGTGCTTAATGGTGCCTGGAATTAAGTAAGCACTTAATAAATGTTTATTGGCTGACTGGTATAATTCCTCTGAATAGACTGTAGTTTATCAATGTCCCTTTTTAATGTGGTTCTTAAACTTGGATTCAAAAATCCAAGTGTGGTTTGACTAGTAGAACTTACAGCGACACAATTATTTCCTGAGAGCTGAACAATAGACCAACTGCTAAGGTTTTAGTGGCCACAATGTATGATTACCTTATGTTGAGATTGTAGTCAACTTGTTGTCATGGAAGTTGTCAAAATGTTGAAAAGGCCAAATACAGAGACCTGACACACAACATAAGAAACCTCCAATCATATTGACATTAGACAAGACTGGATGAGGTGTTTGACGTGGCCACAAATCCATCTATCATAACCTGTTCTTACTGATACTTCTCCATCATGTCTAAATGGATATCTTGGAAGACTTTAACCTGTTGTTGTGAGTTAGGAATCCAGACATACTGTCAGCTCAAACACATGCACTCTGAAGTTCTGGCTTTCTTAAATTTTCCATACTAGCTTTTAGGGGCTAAGAATTTGCCATTATGGATATCATATCTCTTCATGATTCCAATCATTACAAATCACAAATGATTCCTTTGGGAATCAGTCTGTAGTTTCCAGAACTAAACTTTTGTTAATTTAATAATTTTTATTAAGATCTGTTAATAAAGTTTCTCTGTCATCTAGAGGTACTTTGAGTGTCCTGGAATGTAATTTGTTCAGTCCTAGTTACTTAAACGTATTTAAAACAAGGAGATAACATATTTTGGGTAATATTGAATTGCACCTTAAAATATTTATTCTGTCCTTTCCAAATTTTTGATCATTTTCTTTAGGAGAGAAAACAAGATCTAGAATTTGCATTGTAAAGCAGATTCCTCTCACTCAGGACAGAGTACATTGGAGATTGACACTTTTTTCATTTCTTTCAGAGTTTCTTAGTCAGATGGCCACAGATGAAACAGCAGAGTCAACTGAAAATCCATGTGTTTCTCCCAAAGAGTCATCTAAGGAGGAAGCTGAGACAGATGGTTCCTGTGAATATGAATTGGAAGAAGCCTGTGAACAGGATGTCAAAGTAGAAGAAAAGAATTCCGATCAGGACAAACAAACCAGTGAAGAGACAACTACCCACACAGAAATTTCTACTGAATCTGTGTTTGGAAGTTATTTGAGTCTGGAGTCAATCGTTGTTCCACAAGAGGGGGTTCAACCTAGTCAAAATCTTCAAGAGTCTGGTATATATGGACCGAACTTACAACAGTATTCAGACATAGGGAACATCTTTGGTGAGAATAGCCTTTTTAATTTTAATATATGCACCAATTTATTCAGTTGCCCTTCAGATTTTATTTACTCTAATAAAGAGCAGAGTGAAGAAAAAGGATATAAATGTAATGAGTGTGGGAAATTCTTCACCAATAAAAAATCCCATAAAAGTCATCAGAGAATTCATACAGGAGAGACATCCTTTGAATGTAATGAATGTGGGAAATCATTTAAGTGGAAGAGCTATCTTAATGTACATAAGAGAATTCACACTGGAGAGCAACCCTTTAAATGCAATCAATGTGGGAAAGCCTTCAGGCAAAGTTCTCACCTAACTGCACACCAGGCAAGTCATACTGGAGAGAAACCCTTTCAATGTAATCAGTGTGGGGAATCCTTTAGCCTTAGTGAGCAGCTTATTGAACATGAGAAAATTCATGCTGGAGAGAAATCCGTTGAAAGTAATCAGTGTGGGAAAGCCATTGGCCAAATTTCTCAACCTAGTCAACAGGAGAAAATTAATTCTGAAGAGAAACCCTTTGAATGTCGTGAATGTAAGAAATCCTTCAGCCAGAAAGGGCAGCTTAATTCACATAAAAGAATTCATACTGCTAAGAAATCCTTTGAATGTAGTCAGTGTGGAAAAGCATTTAGCCGAAGCTCTAACCTTACTGTACATCAGAGGATTCACACTGGACCAAAAACCTTTGAGTGCCACGAATGTCGAAAATCCTTTAGCAGTAGTGAGCAGCTTCTTAAGCATAAGGAAACTCATACTGGAAAGAAAGATTTTGAATGTAATGAATGTGGAAGAACTTTCCAACGAAGTTCTCACCTTACTGTACATCAAAGGATTCATACTGGAGAGAAACCCTTTAAATGTCAGCAATGTGAGAAAACTTTCAGCCAGAAAGGGCAGCTTAGCACACACATGAAAACTCATACTGGAGAGAAACCCTTTGAGTGTAATGTATGTGGGAAAGCGTTTAGCCGAAGTTCTAACCTTACTGTACATCAGAGAATTCATACTGGAGAGAAACCCTTTGAATGTCATAGATGTCACAAATTCTTTACCCAGAGTAGGTCCCTTGCTGAGCATCAGAGAACTCACACTGGAGAGAAACCTTTTGAATGCAATGAATGTGGAAAAACCTTCTGCCGGAGTGGGCAGCTTACTCTGCATAAGAGAGTTCATACTGGAGAAAAACCCTTTGAATGTGAGGAATGTGGAAAATCCTTCAGCCATAGTTGGATTCTTAATGGACATAAGAATATACATGCTGGAGAAAAACCCTTTAAATGTCTTGAATGTGGGAAATCCTTTAGCTGGAGTGGATCCCTTGCTAAACATAAGAGAGTGCATACAGGAGAGAAACTCTTCGAATGTCAGGACTGTGGGAAATCCTTTAGCCGTAGTGGTCAGCTTACCACACATAAGAGAACTCATACTGGAGAGAAACCCTTTCAATGTCTTGACTGTGGCAAAGCCTTTAGCTGCTGTTTTTACCTTACTGTACATCAGAAAAGTCATACTGGAGAGAGACCCTTTGTGTGTAATGATTGTGGGAAATCATTTAGCTGGAACCAATCCCTTACTCTACATAAGAGAATCCACACTGGAGAGAAACCTTTTGAATGTGATAAATGTGGGGAATCCTTTACCTGGAAGGGACAGCTTACTGAACACGAGAGAATTCATACTGGAGAGAAACCATTTGAATGTCGTCAATGTGGGAAATCCTTCAGGCAGAGTTCTCAACTTACCCGACATGAAAAAATCCATACTAAATAGAAAACTTTCGAATGGGACAAATATAGAAAATCTTTTACCTGGCATAGACAGCTTTCTGAACGTAAAGGTATTCATATTACAGCAAAGAAATCTTTAAATGTATGTATTCAACGGAAAAACCTCCAACTTAATTCTACGTGAGGAACTCAGCATACTGAATCGTTTTAAATATCCTAAATGTGACAAACCCTTCTCTGAGTGGAAAACTTAGCACAAGACAGTTCATACTGGAGAGAGAAATTTCAAATGTCATAAAGGTGACATTTCCTTTCCTGGAGTAGACAACTTACTGAACATAAAGAGAATTAACTGATGCTGGGGCAAAAAAACCCTTTGAAGGCAATGAGTGATAGAAACCTTTGGTTATAGTTATTGTGACACGATGCATCAGAGAATTCATTCTGAAGAAATACCTTTTTTTTAATTTAATTTTTTATTTTTAGTGAGGCAATCGGGGTTAAGTGACTTGCCCAAGGTCACACAGCTAGTACGTGTCAAGTGCTTGATCTGTGGCCAGATTTGAACTCAGGTCCTCCTGACTTCAGCGCCGGTACTCTATCCACTGCATCACCTAGCTTCCCCAAGAGATACCTTTTGAACAATGAATGTAGAGAATCCTTTACCTGCCTTAAACAAGGTACTCTAAGAGAACTCATGCTGGATCAAAGAAACCGTTTGAATTTCACAACTATGTAAAACCTTCATATAATCACAGCATTTTGAAAGTTTGAAGGTGCTTCAGTTGCAAACTAGTCCAGCCCATATAGAGAAAAATTCTGCTCTGACATACCTGACAATTACCTGTTCTCTGACTAGAACACTTCCAAGGAGGAGGAATCTGCCAATTCTTTCGGTATTTCATTCTGCTTTTGATAGCTCTAGTTGTTCTGCTTAGATAGCTCTGAGCTTAAATTTGCCTCCATGAAGCTTCCACCCATTGCCCCCACCTTTTCCCTGGGGCGAAACAGAATGAATCTAATCCCTTTTGCGTGTGACCGACCATCAAAGACTTAAAGACAGTAATTGGTCCCTTCCTGTCTCTTCTCCAGACTCTATGCTCCAACAGGCTCATTGCCTTCAGCTGACATGGACTCAGGGCCCTTCACCATCCTGCTTGCCCTTCTTTGGACGCTCTCCAACTGATCAGTGTCCTTAAACCACGATGCCATGGACTGAATACAATATATCCCAAGAGGTCTTATAATGGCAGAGTACAGTGGGATGATCATTTTCCTATTCCTATAAGTTATATTCTTCTTAGTGCAGCTTAAGATTGTATTAGCTTTTTTCTTTCTTTTTTTTTTAGTGCCTACATCACACTGCTGACTCATGGAACTTGTGGTCCACCATGATCTTCAGAACAACTAATGTGACCATTGCTGATTGCAGCTGGCTACAAGCTGATCTGCCTGGGAGCAATCAAAACCAGCTGTTTTGGTTTTTTTTTTGTTAAACCTAGAGAAAAAAGAAGCTAGCTGTACTTGTATGGTGTTGTTGTGACTTCCCCAGCCTCTGGCTATTTTGTGAAACCGCTTTAACCCTCCCCGTTGCTGTCCCTCCCTAGCCTCCTTAGCCTTCTCTGTGGACTTTCTGTTGTGCAAAACCCCTTAAGTGACTGCTTCCTGAGACTTTGCCTTCCTTGTGACTCTCTCCCTGCTGAAATGTATTTGTACCTTGTGTCCCGATCCCTTGTGAGTACTCCTCCCACCCCAGTGCTCTTTGGTGACCCCGTTTGCAAACCTCTATTAAAGATCCTTTGTTGTTGCCACTTTTGTAGTTTTCTTTAATTCAATTGTTAAGTAGTATTCACACACTCCCAGATGCTCAGTACCAGCGGAGACCCCTTGAGTTCCAGTCTGAATTTGACTGGGTAGGTCGCCTGGCAGAGTGTATTGAATTTTCTCAACTCTTGTCTTTTTCAAGTTGAGTTCCTGGCTCTTTGATCATGGGTTTGTTAAAAAAAAAAAAAAAAAACATCCTTGGGCAAATTGGAGTTCACTCATACAGGTCCTCCTAAATGGTGGCTGCTGGTGTCGACCTGAAAGTTTGGTTAAAGGAGACAAACAAGCTAGGTGATATATAATTATCTTGTTTATTCCCTTAAACTAGTGAATCATGTATACATGGGAGCTAGGGCATAATTCTGACTGAGAGATTAAGCAGAATGAGGAAAGCTTTTATACAGTTAGAGCGAACCGACTCAGGATGTCTGTGTCACTCGAGAAAATAGTCTCCATATTTTTTTTTAACAATAGTATGAAAAAGGAAGTTTCTTAGTTGAATAGGTTGTAAATACAGTAAGACAAGAGAAATAACAAAGTGTCCGTTGAAATTATGATCCCAGGATATCTGTGTTTCCCCTACCTAGCAAATGTCCGTAGGATATCCAGATAAAAAAAAAGTCCCACTATTCAAGGCAATGTCTGGTCCCAGGCACCCTGTCCTTAGTGATCACAAACAGAAAGAATGCTCTTGGTCAGCCTTTTGGGTCCTATGGTTGCTGACACAGGAAGGGGCATTTTTAGTTCACTCAGAGAGAAAAGATTAATTCAGGTGCTGAGGCTTATCGGGGCTCAGTTAATCTTAAATGATTATCAGTTCCTCCTTTTGGTCAAAGGTAAACTGAAGGCCTGCCTGTAAACCAAGGAAGGTATAAAACTTGTTCTTCAGCGAATGGGAAGGGTAGTTCTGATCACCCTTTTGTTGACCAAGGAGATGCACTAATCTCTGTGTCTGGACTGAGCTGCGAAGAAAAAGGGGAAACAACCAGGGGCAGCATTATTTTGTTTACCACACTGGTGGGACATCTGTGGGCCAAAGTCAACCCTAGTCGGACCTCTGGTAAGACGAGCAAGAATAGCCAGCACTCTAGCGGCAGAAAGGAGGAGGGATCTGAGTAAGCTGCCCACCGCTGGGGCAAAGGAGCTAAACGTACACCATTGGGTGACCTGAGAGCCAGGTCGATTTATGCTATCCTGTGTCTGTTGGGATTTGTTAACATAAAAACAGCATTCCTCGTGGAGGAAGACACAGACATCCCGGGGGTGCAAGGAGTGCATCAGGTGCCCTCCGGTTTTGCAAGACCACTCCAAGCCAGGGAGCCAGGTGCACTCTGCACATCTCCCACCACTTTAGCTATCTGGTCATTCGTGTCAGCCATCTGTCGGGACACAGCCCTACAAACCTCATTTGCGGTCATAAGCCCCCCTACTCCCGCTGCTGTAGCAGCCAAGATGCTGCCTTCCACGATGAGGGGGCAGGGCGTGGATCGCACGTCGGAAGCCGAGAGGAGAGCCGGGTTCAGCAACAGCCGGATCTGGAAGTGTTCTACGTATTGGGGTAGTGCCTGGAATGTACCGGAGGTCGGGCACAGCCCGGACAACGGTGCATAGCCCTGTTCACGGGGGAGGAAGGATTTGATAAAAGGGACATGCCACACAGGAAGAACATTCCCAGGGACGTTGGTAGGGTAAGGGAAAATAGAAGGGAACCTGAGAAGTGCTGGACAGTAACCCTGACTCCTTCATTAGTATACTAGCTCCTGCCTGGGCTGGGGGAGTGTTGTACGGGAGCTGGGACTGAGAAGTAGCCCACGGAAGGGTTCAGGCAAGGGTTGTTGGTCATCCGATTGGAGGTGGGGCCGTATCCCTTTTCTGCCCATAAATATCTCCGATAGTCCCAGGAAATTGTTTCACTCCCTGTGTTATCGGGCCAGAGTTAGGCGGGACCCGGGAGAGAAAGTGGCATTGATAAGGAGTCACTACCGCGGGCATCAGTACCAAGTCCGGCAGGCCAACCTGCGCAGAAGAGGAGTCAGGGGCACCTTGGGTCGTAGTGGGCCCCAGGATCCATGGAGAGGGCAGGGATGTAGGTTTCTCTCTTGTAGTTGAGGACAGACACCGGGGCGAATCCAGATTGTGTAATTACACAGTTACGGCCTGGGTCAAGGTTCCCTGCAGGAGTCCCAGAGGGGTGATTAGATAAATAGCAGAAAGCAGCGGGAGGGGCTGTGGAGGCCGATACTGGAGAGTTATCCAAACCTAAGGAGATTCCGGTCTTTCCCAACCGTTTCCTAAAGTAAGTAGGGGGCACTGAAGAGACGGTCGAATTCTTTGTCAGACTGAGCCTGGTCCGCCTTGAGAATCACACACGCTTTTTCAGAGCTTCCTTTTTCGGAGAATCTTAGGCCCTCAGTGGGGTGAGCCGGGCGATTAACTCAATTGACCCCCAGTGAGAGGCAGAGATAGGTTGTACTGAATGAAGGGCGTCCTAGAGGGTCAATGCATAGCCAGCAGTTGGACAGGTGAAAGAGCCTGACTACCCCCTGGCCCAGCTTCTGCATGGGGTGGGTGGGGAGATGGGAGAAGGGGTCACTCTTCCCCTGTGGTTGGACATCCCCAGAGATGGAAAGCCACTGCAAGACGATTGCAAACAAGCAGAAGGAGCAGACTGCGGGGGCAGGTGGGGTGTCAAGGTGGAGAGAGTGAGAAGCCTAATGCGAGTATAGAACAACTAAGTAAGCTAAAACTACCAAAATCCATGTGTAACCAGTGTTGGGTATGTAAGGGGCTCAGGCGGGGAGGGAGCTTTACTTCATGCGGACCGGTCTGGACTCTTGGGAAAGCTGTCTACATCTGATGTCCTCTTTTTCGAAACCGGAGGGCAAGGTCTCCTGTTGGCTCAGATGTCCACTGGGGGTGGGGGCAATCTTTAGATGTGACAGATGCATCTATTCCTTGGAGTTTGGCAGCAGCAGAGGTCTGAGCAGTACCTGGAAGGGTTCATTCCACCGTGGTTCTAAGGAGTGTCTTCACGGGTGGCGCTTCCAATATTCCCAGTTCCCGGAACAGATGAGAGTGTTGGCCTCAGGCGGTGGACCTAAGCCGTGAGACTCAGAGACAAGGTCTTGAACCAGATGAATTTGCTGACTAAGTTTAACACAATATTCTTCTTCTTCTTCTTCTTCTTCTTCTTAATTTATTTTGAATTATCAACAATCA